CCCGCTCTGCCAACACTGTTTATCCATCCTTGTAAACGATAGAGAAAAGTGAAGGATTGGTAGCTGGAATGCATGAGGTAAACGACAAAAAACAACCCCCTCCTCACATAAAAAGAAAAAGAGAAAAGAGAGAGGGACTCAATGAACCCTTTGAACTGCATTGACAGCAATGCATGGTAAAATGCAAGTTTCCTCTGGGAGCCTACTTGGTGAAGAGTGGGGGTTGGGTGAGGTTAGCTGGGGAGAGGGAGTTCAAAGTCTGCACAGAAAGTTGGTATTCAAACAACTCAGGAATCTGCATGTGCTCATAAATATATAGTTCATCTAAAACAACTGAAGATCGAAATGAGCCACTGCACTGATCTTTCCTTGCAGGCTTAAAAATAAAAAGCAATACAGATGAATTAACATTTGAACAGGTTTTAAAAGATGGCTTATAAAAGATGCATTTAAACAGAATATGTACTGGTATGTGACTTCCACTTGGTTTTCACTAAACCCCCAAAACACAATTAAATGAAAAAAAATCTCTCTTTATTTAAAAAAGAAAACAAAATGCTCTTAAGATCCTATAGTTTGCAGCTTGGATGCACACATTTCTTTCCACTGATTAGAGCTATTAACTGAGAAAATAAAGCAACAAGAACAATAAATAAAACAAGCCTAATCCATTAAAAATATTACATTTGTTTTATTAAATATATCTATGCAAATCTTATCAATAAGCCAAATAAAACAAACCCAAGACACAGCTTCTCAATTCTACACCTGAAATTATTGCAGGCCTTACAGAGATTCATATTATGCCATTTTTTTTCTGCTCTCATGATAAATTTGTACTCGTAGTGCTGAACATCATATATAAATTGTACCATATTGAATTGGACTGTACTGAAAATAAATGAAGCCTCATTTGTATGATGTTGCATTGTCTCACAGAGACTATTGTGACATTCAAATTGGAACAAAAACCTTAGATGCACTTCACCAAAACAGCTTATTTTTATATGAGGCAAATTTTTACATCACCCCTCTCATCGCTAGTTGTGATGAAAGAATAAAAACCATTCAGCAACTCACACATCTTAAAAATCGGGCAGTTCAACAAAGCACTCCACAGAACAGGTGGGGATTAGATCGATATAAAGATACAGCATGTATGGAAAAAGCTATGGAAATAGAGAGAGTAAAAAGACATACAAATGGGTTAAAGTGTTGCTCCTGCTTTGCATTCAAACAAATAATAAATGGAAAAAATGCAGTCGCTTTGTCTTAAAAATGTATTTTTGTTACATAAGAATTAGCTCTTCAACCTTTTTCCCCCCGCAAACATTCACATAAAAAGTTTCTTCTTTATCAGTGTCAGCTCTCTTTTTTCACATGTGGGGAGGTACTAAAATTAGATCATATCATAAGAAATGATATTAAACTAAAAAAAACCCACAAACAGTGATGTTGGTTTTAAAACGAAGGTCGTCTGCAAACAAGGAGCTGCTTGGCTCATTTCAGAAACAGATCATTTCCTAGCAATATTACAGATGTGACATGAAGATCCTTTTGTAGAACTTAATATGTGAAATCTTTTCAGTGCTCATCTTCATGAATAGAAGTGGAAAAAGTACAGATCCTTATATAAATGTAAATGAGTGTGAAAAATGTATCTTATTCTGTAGCATGACAAAACAACTAGTGCAGAGATTGTTACAAGTTTTATGTTCGGCTTAAAAACAATCTTCAAAAAAGAAAAGAAAAACATACGTCAGTTTGTAGATGTCTTTGCAAAGTCTCAGTTGAAAAGTGTTCTTCTCTTTTTTTATCGCCACAAATATAATGAAAAGGTTTGAAAGTAAAAGGGGTTTCAAAACAGTCTTATCTTGTTGCATAAGTGCAAACAAAAGGCGTGACTGTGGATCTGTGGCAGCTATAAAACAAACATCTAATGCAAAGAAACAAAGTTTGAAGTTGGGCCATGTCACTTTTTCAGATGTAGGAACTTTAAGGTTTTTTGTTGTTGTTGTTTGTTTTGTTTTGTCACGCTGTCAAATGAGAAGCTGCCTTCTAACTTCTCCATCAGAAGGACGTTGAGAAAAAACAAAATGTTGAAAACTTTCCTCTGCTGAAGCTTGAAGGCAACCGATCAAACTGAGAAAAATCGGAATTTTCATAAACCATAAATCTGCATAAAGAAAAGTATAAAAGAGATGGACATAGGTTTAAAACCAGTTGAAAACCAACTATATGTGAAGAATTCTAGTTTGTGTGGTTTATGAAAACAAACTACATAGAACATCAGCAAAGCTTTACTTTCACGGGTTTTTCTGTGCCTCTGTACCATTACAATCGTTAAGGCTGTTTCACAAGCATTTCATGAATCAATTTGTTTTTCACAGGTTTAAAGCACACCATAAAATCTTCACTAACAACCATTTTGCTCTTTCAGTTCCCTCTTTTGACCGACAGGCACACCAGAGCCTCCCATATCTAAATCATTCCTTGTCATTCTTTTGCACACTTCGGTAAGCTGCACTGCGGTATTTTCCGCTGACTTGTCCTAATCAGAAAGGTCCTGTCAGGATATGAATGAGTGGATAACATCTGACAGTGGTATCCAATCCTGTGACCCACACAGTAATTCTATGGCTGCTGAGGAGGCCTCCACTACAAGCATCTTCAAAAACAGGCCTTGTGCGCGGGGGCTGGGTTGGACGGATTGGGGGTAGGGGCAAAGCTTGCGAATTCCGGAGGGTGGGCTCTTGAGTGTCGGTGGGTGGAGACAGGCTTGTTGTTGTTTCATTCCTCCAACGTGTTTTTCCTCTTTCCTCATACTCGCGAATAACCCCTCGAGAAACGTCCCACCAAGGCAGAAGTGAGATAAGATGGAAAGTTTCTCAATGGGCTTGTTCTTGTTGTTGATCTGCTCCGTGGGCTATTCTTCTCTTAAGTGATCTATGCTGTTGGACGTAAACCATGTCCAGAATAGGAAGTAAGACGTGTAGTGGAATTTAAATGTGCTCAAACTTGATTTAATCCAGCTTTTGTGTTTGTTTTGTGGTTTTAAACATACTGTGTTTTAACAGTACCATTTAAAAAAAGCATATTGAATTGATACAAGCCACCTGTGTTAAAGTTCTCTTTAAGGAAGCCTAGTAATGCCACAAAAATCTCTTTAAGTTTGAATAAAAGTGGAACTTTAAGACTCAAACTAAGTTATTTTGTAAGAAGAAGAAGGAAAAACAAGACTTAACAATTTCAGCTCCAAACTTTACTGACAGCTTCATAGTATTTCTAAAAGCATTTCTAACCCCCCCCCCCCCAAATAAACAAAACAAAAAGAAATGACCCTCCCCCGCTCAAAAAGAAAAAGAAACAGACAGAACTAATCTTGGTAAGGAACGTATCCTCATGACAAACGAGGCTCAAGACTTACAAATATCTGCTTTGCTTTCTGTCAGTTTTCCAGTCACATTCCAAAGCTGTGAGTTCAGCTCTCCTCTGGTGCCCACTATGATACTGGGAGGTAACTGGTTGGGAGTTAGGAGCATGAGCACAAACACATGTCCATGCATGAAAGTGGGAAATGATCATTTGCACTGTGTTTTGTAAAATTCACAAGTTCTAGTTTCCAGCAAAACAGGTTTAGGTTTCTTAGCATAGCTGGATGTTATTTCTGTTAAAGCCACAGCTGCATTTCCCCCTTTTGAATATACACTGGTGTGAAAGTCTGAAGTGAGCTGTGCAATGCAAACAAAGGCTGTAATAAGCTTACGTATTTTAATGGTGCTGTGTTTACTTTGTATAAAATGTAGAAAAGTTAACCCTGTCTTGAAAATCTTTTTAGAGTTTGGCTTTGGTAATAGTAGGGTCTGGAGAAGAGATTCAAACAAGCAAACAGTAATAGAAATCGACAAAAAACAAGCAGTAAAATAAAATAAATTAAGAAACATTTTTTTGATGAATTTTCTTTGTTAAGTGATGCTTTATGTGTGAATTTTCACCCATTTAACACTATTTTTGTCACCCTGTGGAGGTCTAAACAAACCAACTGTAGACTAACATATTTTAAACATGTACGATTTTCTTTGAATTTACTTAATTTTTATGAGTCAAAATATACTCAAAGTAAAAAAACAAACAAAAGCCACACAGGACACACTGCTGTACTTCCACGTGATGATGGGAAGATCTATGAAAACAAGCCTGCAAATCTGTAGGTTAATCAGCTACACCCATTAGGGGCCTAACTTCATCATTTGCTTTTGATTGTAATTGGTTGATTCATTATTTCCTTGTTTTTTTGTGTGTGTTTTTGCTGTTGTCATGGCCACCCTATTATTCCGCAGAGTTCATTAAAATGTAATTTAATCCCATCCAATCATCTAATCTAATCTCAGTGCATAATAGCCTTATGTAGCTACACCAACCCCTTTTGATACAGGACCTCAACAAAACACATTGCAAGCAGTGCACTGCAGCGCATAGCATATCATATAGCACACGTTACAGCTTGCAGCTTCCCACAGTGGACGTGGGTTGTTTTATGATCTACACAACTATTGGGCGCGTGCTGTTGATGGTTCCGAGTCCAGTTTCCCCCCCACAACACACACCCATTTTCCTCTTTGAATCTTGGGACAGAAATGAGAAGCAAGAAAGCATGTAATTGACAAAGTCACGTGTTCTCACTACGGGAACGGGCACAGCCAGCTCGAGAGCGAATGAGAGCGAAGACGAGAGCGAGAGAGGGAGTAAGAGAGGCAGCGACCGAGAGAGAGAGAGAGGGGTAGAGCAGTAGGCTACAGAGGTGGTGTGAGTGAGGAAGGGATTGAAGGGAAGAGAGAAAGACATGACAAAAATATCAAAAGGCAGAAAGCACGCCGTACCATGCGAGCTAAACTGGTGACCGATGGGATCGAGGATGTCGGATTAATGGTGACTACCGCAGCCCGTTTTCGCAGAGGAAGCTTCTCTATTGCAACTTGGGCGCAGAGGGTCCGCGGGGAAACATGGCCGAAGGTTATTCTGCAATTATTTTCTATTTTCTGCTCTTAGTTTTTGTTGTTGTTGTTATATATATATACATATATTTGCTCCACGTGAGCTCGCGCGAGAAGGGAGAAGGAGGCAAGGTGCAGCGTGATTATTGTTCCAAACCTAAAAAAATAAAATAAAATAAAAAATAAAGCCTGACCGGCCACACTGCCGAGCACCACATCTAACCACGTCTGGCAGCATTAAGATAGATCCACTGTTAGAGCGTATATGCTTTTCAAGCCAGTAGTAAAGCTCGAGGAACCATGTGTACACCTGCCCTTTTTTTCCTTATAGCATGCAACTCCACATCAGGAGCGGGCTGTAGATGCACGAGAAAAACCCTCCACAAGTTACACCACTGAGCATGCCTGTGCACGAATCAGAGGCATTCATCTGTCATGGAGTAACAACTTTTCCCCCCCTTTTTTGGTTGAGGGAATGTCTGGTTGACGCACATCGGTTCACAGCACCACGCGTCCCTCTTCGCTTATGTGACATGTGAAAAATAGTATAGGAAATTTCTACCGGCCCTGAACTTCGCATAGCCTGTACTTGAAGTGGAGGGGATTCCCCTCACGCTTCTTGGATAAGTTTTCTTTATTTCTTTTCTTTCTTTCTTTTTACGCAACAAAGCTCATTAAACTTATATAAACGTGTATGCACGCAGGGCGGTGAGTGTTGAGCGGCGTGTCTGCGAGCACAAACAAAATGTTCTAACTCGCCTCTTGTACTGCCCGCTCGTTCTACAGGAGGGTCGGGTAAAGGTGGCGGAGAAGACCCCGCCAAGTCCGCCGAGCAGGAGGAGGACCGCACTCGACCTCAGGTCCTGTCGGGATCGGGCTTCTGCAAATGGTTCAACGTCCGGATGGGATTTGGATTTATCTCAATGACCAACAGCGAAGGGAGCCCCGTTGACCCCCCTCTGGATGTTTTCGTCCACCAAGTAAGTTGATGAAAACGTACACACAAGCACCGAGGAATACGCGTTTGCGTCGTGGTGATTTTCCTTTCTTTGAAAAAAAAAAAAGAAGCGTGGAAAAGCGACGAATGATTGAATAGTTTTTATTTCCTCTGCCAAAAAAAATGCTACTGTTACCTCAGATCCCATCTTGCTGTCCTCGGGCCCCTTTTTAATTCTTCTTCACAGCGATAGTTACACTGTATCATCCGGATGTTTCGCCTTGCCCGACACGTTACTGTGTAACAACATGCTGTCCACATGCTTAAGGGACAGGAAAAACCAAACCAAAACAAACAAACGACACACACACACACACACACACACACACACACACACACACACACACACACACACACACACACACACACACAAAGTTTTCCTCTGAGGCACACGTTTAGCTCTCCCTTTGCTTCTCTCTGTGAAGGGAAAGGAAAGAAATGTCGTGTGGATATGACACGGTTAGTTTCACACTTGGCCCTGTAATGGACAGCAGAGCTTGCTTGATATCCAGCCAGCTAACATGTCGGAGAGCGTGTTTTTTTTTTTAACTCACTGCTGGGCTCTGTTCTGGGAAGGTGGATTTTGCTCAGTGCTGTTGTTTGCTTGATGTACTTGAACCGTATGTGCAGTTTATAGAAACATCCTTTTACTTTCATACCGAATGGTGACGTGAAGCCCGGCCTGTGTGTCCCCCTCCCACTCCCTCCGCGTGTACTGCTGATTTATTGTGCATGGAGTTCATTTCAGAGGCCTTGTTTTTGACTGCTACAGAAAACAAAGAGCAGTGAAGTCCTCCCTTGTTTTAGCTCCCCTTTCCCTCCGTTAAATCGCCCTTTTTTACGGTCCTATAAAGTGCCTTTAAAATTCTCGAGGAACGACAGACGACGAAGAGAGGCTTTTTTGTTGCCATTTCATTTGACACACTCTCTCACTTCATTGTAGAAAAGATGACTCCACTGATTACTATAAGGCAAATTAGTAGCACTGGGAAATATGGATTATAGTTGCATAAAGGGATTAGTTTATTTAGGTAAAAAATATATATATAATGTAACTCAAACACTTACAGTATGTTTTTTTCAAGCTGCATGCCAGACTAAAAATAGAAAGTGGGACCACAGTTTCACATGGTTTGCTATCCAATGTCTTTTTGAATGGCATTTGAGTGTGTTCTGCACCAGCAGGGTAGTTTCCACCTCTCTGAGCTGCATTCAGCTCAGTTTTTATGGAAAAATAAATAAATAAATACAAATTTAAAAAAAAAATAGATATATGTACATTTCAAATTGTCCGCAGTATTTGATTGACCAAATGTGTTCACTGCCATTGAATTCTGACAGCGGTAAAGCTGGTTGTTTAGTGCATTTAGTTTGGCTATAAACGTGATAATCGAGAGTTATAAAAATATCTGGATTAAAATCCTGGAGTAAAGCGCAAAAAACATTCAGTGAATAACAACAATATGTTGAGCTTTGCTTCATGCGCATCTTCATATGCACGTAATAATATAGCCTGACATGTATTTCTACATTTTTTGGTTAACATTTACATGTATGTGGATGTTTTCATGCACTCTTACTGCGCCTGCAAGAAACAAGCCCAAGCTCGGGAAAGTGGATGACTACAGCACTATGTTATCAGATTCTGATTGATACGTTCACATTGTGGCTTCATCGACTGAAAGCACTGCATCTGTCCATACGCTCCAGACTCCTGTCTTCCCTGCTGCTCAGAGATGTTTTAGGAGTGGATCAGGCCATCAAGGGTGAATAAAGGTGTGCTCTGGGAAACAGTCTTAAGAGCTGAACAGGAGTCTAACAAAACACTGTGTGTCTCAGTAGTTTGTAGCCTATAAGGCAGAAAAGGCTTGTGCGGTATACTGTTGCTTTACATAGGAAAAATATTTAGATCCACAATGCAAGAAAGGCTCATTAGGTACTGTGATGATGGCGGTGTATAGATGAAAATGTTTGCAGAGCTGCTCTGTTTCATTCATTCGTTTTTTCATATTTTGGGAGGATGGTGGGGACCAAATTGTTCCTAATATAGCTTTTTGTTAAATTATAGCATTCAGTGAATCATATGTTTACACTCGATCATTTGTGTCCCAGTGTTTCTGGCAGCTGTACGCGCTCACAGTGACACGACTGTCATTTAGCACAAAGGGGAAGACATCATGCACTCATAAACACGCTGTCATAATAAATGCAAACAACCCCGTGATTTCTTTGGAAGGATTCACACTCGTGCATTCGTATTAAATCGGTCACTCATTCTCTCTGATTGTTCCACCCTCTCTGTCTCTCTGCTAGCAGCCTGGAGCTATTTGAATATATTGATGTTATTTCCAGGTGTAAAAGAAATGTTCAGATTTGGAAATATTGAATACAGATCTGGCCTGTTATATCTTAAGTAGAAAATTATTTAAAAGTCTTAAAGCCATAATAATTGTTTTAGGATGCATTTTGTCATTTTTAATCAGTGGCAAGCTCACAATCAAACCAACTTAAAACAAAGGTTATGAATTAATTTACACGTTTGTGGTAAAAGGGTCGTTGTTGAAATAAAACTATCAGAAAGGATGCCGATTTATTCTTGCACAACATTGACCCTATCCGCATGATAAAAGCTGAGGTAAGAAAGATAGGGAGGGGAAGAGGGAGCATGAGGACAGGAGGAAGGGGGGAAGAGAGGAGGAGTTTCCTTAAGAGAGGGAAAGAGGAGGGATGTGGGAAAAAAAAAGTGTGGGTGAGGGGTGGGGGTGCTGGGCTGGGGACGGCGGTAGTCCAAGAGGAAAACATGAGTGAGAGGTTGGAAAAAGACGAGCGAGTGGTGGTAAAGGAGGGAGGGTGTGTGCTTGTGTGTGTGTGTGTGTGTGTGAAAGAGAGAGTTAGTGTGAGCCCCCCCACCCCCCAGAGCACGAGGCCTCTTCCTGGGAGGCCTCTTCATCACGGCTCCTATCTGATCGCTTCCTTTCGGAAGGTGTGAGAGAGTAATTAAGCATCTTCACTCTCTCCTTAGTGATTCCACTATTACATTATCTCTGTGTGTCAACCACTTCTCTACCTGGGCTGAGTGTTTTTTACTTTGTGTGTGTGTGTGTGTCTGTGTGTGTGTTGGGGGGGGGGTCTCTCCTTGGGCATTCTTTAAAAAGAGGAATTTCTTAAAGACAAAAAGGCAAGAGGGTAGGCGAGGGGTTTAGTGGGTTGGGGGTGCTGCCTGCCCTTTGTCGGTAATCAGTTTGAAATGTTGAACAGTTTGCTGTTGCTATTCTCCTGAAACCCCATGAGTTTATGAATCCCTTACGAATGTGTGTGTGTGAGTGTGTGTGTGAGCACTTCTTACTTTCTGCTTTCAGCCACCAGGTTGTCGATGCCTACGTGTGATCCGTTGAAAAATGTTCTAGGTTTTTGATCATGCATGTGCGCACTCGAGAGAGAGAGAGAGAGTGTGTGTGTTTTGTGTAGTGAGGTTAAAGTGGGCCCCTAGTGAGATTAACCTCTGGTCCGTGTCACCGTTTGGCATGCAGGCCCCACCCATCTCTGCCTGCAGATAGCCAGTATCAGGCTTTGTGTCTCCTGCAGCCACACCACTCCACTCACCCACACCACCGCCACCCTTCCCGTCTTTACATCAAATAAAGCAAAAGAAGAAGAAAGACAAGTCATGTGACTTCCTTTTGAGGAGCTGGCCGCATATAGCGGATGTTTGATTGGTAATTGGAAGGGTGATGGAGTAGACACAGAAGGGCTACAATAAAAAAAGAGCAGCAGTTCCGCTGGTCATGTCAGTATGAGCTGATTAAGGATTTAAGCATTTAATTAATCTATTTTTTTTTTAATTACCAGGAATGAAAAATTCCAGGAGGCTCTTTCTAGTTCTTTCTTTAATATTTAATGTTCTTGGCTGCTCAGTTCTTCTATGCAATGCTTGATAGATTTTAAGGGCTACAGTCTGCAATTTGTTTTTATTTATTAGCACTTTGTTTCTCCATTGATCATTTTGTCCTAAAAAATGACAAAGAAAAGCATCAAAAAGGAAAAAAAATAAAATAATCAAAGACCTAATTAATTAATAAAACAACTGTTACATTTCCGAAGGATAGAGAAAAGTTAGATTTAGACACAACATGTGTAAACAGACGTTTAAAAGCTTTTCTTTTGGAGAGATTTGCCTGAAACGGTTTTAATTTGCGATAATCTATAGTCAAATTTCTATTAAAAATTGCTAGAGAGACAGATGAAAGCAATTTATATGTAAAAACACAGTTGTTGCAAAGGCTCAAATAAAAAAAATAATGATAAAGATTAGAGCTATTATAGTAAATAAAATGTATAAAATCCCTCAATTAAACATCTGACTACATTTATCTCATGTTCATCTCTTTGTATTCATGTTAGAATTCATCAGATCCGAGCTAATAACCAGCACTCATTTTTGTGTCATGTTTGTCACGCATTACATCATCATCTGTCTACTTTGTTAGATTGGGTGAGTTCAGTGCCAAAGCATACAAAGAAAAAAAAAGACAGCTGCTGTTTTTTGCCTCTGTAAATGGATTCAACTGTAAAACCAATTAAATAATGATTGCAACTCAAATTGTATGCACTACCAATGTACACGTGTAAGGTTTGAAAGGTTTGCATTGATCCATCATTTTTCCTAAAAGAAAACGTGAAAAATTCAAACCTTTTAAAAATGATTTCTGTCATTTTAAATTTATGATATATTCCATCATTTGTTCTTTTGTGAAAGTGACACCTCTTTAAATGGCTGGCAGTGAATCTTTGCAGTGACACTGGACTGTTTCTGTTTTGAATAGGTGCAGTTATTAGCAGGCTGTGTGCTTTATCACCAGTCACCTCAGTGAGGTTCATTTCCCCCTCTCATGCTGATAAATGTACCAGGATGATCTAGTGCTTCCTTCCCCAGATCAAATATTTGGCCCAGTCATAATCGGGGGTGTTGGATGTTGTTAATTT